TGTCAAATCAAGTCACACGGCCTCATTTAAGAAAACAAGGTAAGTGCAGGCCTGCCATGTGACTAGAAAGAGAGTCAGAATTATTTAGTGACTAACACCATGACAATCATCCATTCACCCCTCCCCCAGTCTTGAATATCATTTCAGGCACCTGCTTTTCCTTCAAGTCAATTCCCTACAGCCGGGCTGTGGAGTATGATGGGTCTGTATCACCTTTGCTTTAGGATGAGGCATCTAGCTTAAGTGATATGACGTTCTCAAGGAAGAGTTTGGAACACACATGTGAGAAACACTTATTTCCACAAACCTTTAGCTGAAATGATGTTTACAAAGCAGTCAACAAAGCCAATAGGGCTTAGCAGCATTGTCCCTTGATAACAGAAACCATAGGTATTGGTACATCACATGACAATTGCTGCAAGTATCCCAAATGCTCACTCATTCAATTTTCCAGTAATTATTAGACTGCTAGATCATTTGAAATGAGTTAGCAAAAAAAAGCACACAAATTACCACAACTCAAAAGAGATATTTTGGTAACTGTTTCATTTAATAGTTTTCCTTTGTAGGCCTAAAAGGCATTTAATCTCATGCTTAAGAAAAAAAAATTTTTTTTCAAGACAGGGTTTCTCCGTGTAGCTTTGGAGCCTATCCTGGCACTCGCTCTGGAGACCAGGCTGCCTCTGCCTCCTGAGTGCTGGGATTAAAGGCGTGTGCCATCAATGCCTGGCAAGAAAATTTTTTTGAGTCAGGGTCTCATTATGTATCCCTGGCTGGCCTAAAACTTGCTATATAGACCAGACTTACCTCAAACTCACAGAGAGTTTGAGGTAACTCAACTATAAAACTATATGTGAGGTAACTCACATATAAAAAAAATGTCTTTATTTTCCAAATACCAGGATTAGAGGTAGGTACCACCATCTGAGGCTGAGAAACAATTCTGAAAATGCCAGAGTCAAATGGGATAATAACATCACGTTAAGGCCTCTATTCTGTCTTTCCCCCAACTGCAGTTGCCATTGCAGGCCTATGAAGCTTCCTGCTCAGGACTTAATCTGTGGTAGTATAGTACATTAATGACACAGGAGACTTAGTGGCTTTGTTTTTGTTTTTGTTTGTACTGCTTTGTGACAGGGTCTTGCTGTGTAGCTCTGGCTGGCCTGGAACTTGCTATGTAGCCCAGACTGTTTTCAAATTTGAAATCTTCCTGTTTCTGCCTCTCAAGCGCAGAAATTAAGAGATGGGGCTCTAAAGCGGGAACTTGGAAGAGCATCTCTGAGTAGTAGGGGAACAGACTGGGGTGTCATTAAAGGATCTCTCTAGGAAATGGCCCAGGCTCTCTGATGCAGGGTAGAAATACTAGCAGGACAAAGCCTGCCACAGTTGCTGCTGGCTTTCTGGGGCTCATCCTTTTCTATTTGGCCTCAATTTCCCCACATATTCCCCATATAACAAATGTGAGCTAGATGATCTCAACCTGTGCAGCTCTGGCAGTCTGGGTGTATGCTTCTGGACTAGCTACTTCCATGGGATCCCAAAATGAAGTCCATAGCACTAGATGCTTCCCTGACCTTGCCATCAAGTTTTCAGGCCCCCCCTCAAGAATTCTTGAACAATATGGTAAAAGGTGTTTTCCCCAACTCCACAGATGCCTCACCGAGCCCTACCCTTCTTGCATATCACTTTTCTTGTGGGCAAAATCTTCCCTGTATCTGTCAAGGACCCAGTCTGAAGCCAAGCACCATGACAAACCTACTTAGAGCTTCCATGACATAATGTGTCTTTTATTGAACCCTTCTGTGATGATTTGAACAGGTATGGCCCCCATAGACTCGTGTGTTTGAATGTTTGGTCCATAGGCAGTGGTACTATTAGGAGGCGTGGCCTTGTTGTAGTAGGTGTGGCCTTGGAGGAAGTGTGTCACTGTGGAGGCAGGCTTTGAGGTCTCAAATATGCTCAAGCCACTCTCAGTGTGGGATACAGTCTCCTTCATGTTGTCTACAGATTAATATGTAAAACTCTCAGCTACCTCTCCAGCACCATGTCTGAGTGCCACCACATCCCGCCATGATGATAATGAAGTAAACCTCTGAACTGTAAGCTAGCCCCAATTAAATGTTGTCCTTTGTAAGAGTTGCCATGGTCATGATGTCTCTTCACAGCAATAGAAACTCTAACTAAAACACCTTCTTACATGTATGTCTTCTGTCCCTATCTACAGTATAAATTTCCATGAGTAGAACCTACATTTTGTTCAGCATCCCTAGTACTAACTCAGACTCTTTATCTGTGGGTATCAAGACGAAGGTGGCTTGTGTACAGTCCTGTGGTTCAGTGGGCATGAAGGGATCAGTTATCCTAGGGTTAAATCCCAGCTCTGTGAGTAACTAGGTTATTTTTTGAGTGACAAAAATGACCTAGTTAGTAGTAACATAGTAACAACATCTCTGTGCCTTGATTTATTTGTCTATTAACTGGAAAAATAGTAGTTACTTCACGTAAAATAAAAATCAAAGGGCAAATACAAATAACGTAAGAAATATCACATGTACACTTAAATGATAAAATTTAATGCTTGCCAAGCTTCTAATCTTCATAATGGGGCTATGAAATAAATACCAACATTATAATAATCCCCTGCTTACAGTGACACTAATGCAAAAGGATGTCAGGCTACTGATTTAGGGTCATAGCGAAGCAAACCACAAGGTGAGGGCTCAAACCCAGGGAGGGTGACTCAAAGGCCCAAACACTTAGCCGCCATCTGAACCATGTCATATCTTTCTTCTACCAGTGTTAGACTAATTATGGGTGCGAAGGAAAATAAGGGGCGGGGGAGATGTCTTAGTTGGTAAAACGCTTGTCAAGCAAGCATGAGGACCCGAGTTTCCCAGTTTCCATATAAAAAGCTGAGTGCATTAGTGCATGACTGCAATCCTGGCACTGGGGAGGGAGAGCTAGGCAGATTTCTGGAGCTCCCTGGCCAGCCAGCCTATGCGAGTACATGAGTTCCAGGATCAGAGAGGGAGGCCTTGACTCAGAAAACAAGGTAGAGGGTCTGGAGAAGTGTTTCAACACTTAGGCATGCTTCCTCCTCTTCTAGAGGCCCCGAGTTTGGTTCCCAGCAATCACATCAGGCAGATCACAACCAACAGCCTATAGAACCAGCTCCAAGTATCTAGAACCCTATTCTGGCCTCCAAGGATGCCAGCAAAGATGTGACATACACTCACACAGACATACACATAACATAAAAAACTATTAAAAAATAAGTTGGGGAGTGATTGAGGAAGACAACTGATGTCGACCTCTGGCTTCCATTTGCATCCGTGCAGAAGCAAGAGAGCAACAGAGTGAGAGAGACAGAGTGACAGTGGTAGGCTACTTTATATTAGGTTGCTTTCCCCTGCTTTCATCTGCAGGCACACATTTTTGCTTTCTTTCTTCTGTTTGACTTTCATAGTCTGAGCCAATTGAGTTCTTCCCTCTGATCCTGCCCTTAGACAACCATCTGTGTGATCAACTTGATGTCAGAAAAATGGTGAGAGAGACGAAGATGAGAGGATTGCCTGCTTAGTATGAGGGGAAAAAACTCATCTACCCATTTAAAAAAATAAAAACAAAAACATCTGTCTCTCAAAGGAAATATATGCTAGTATCAAGGGCATGTGTAATTAAGCCCGGGTCTCTAAGAGTGGATCTTGTGCACTATGTACGTTCCAGCATAGGTTCTGTGACAGAATTATAAACTGAGTTGCAACAGGCTTTCATGATGTCCCAGTCTCTTATTTTATAGAGCGAGGAGAACAAGGACCCACGAAAGGGAAGGGACTCGCATGGGTACAGTGGGCACTCAAATATTTGTTGAGTGAATGAAATACTAATGACCCATATGCTTAAGGAGGTGAGGAATACAATCTGGGACCAAAGGACCAAGTTGTTCTTTGTCTCAGGTGCTTCAAGCAAATCTCATGCCCTGAAGTCAGTAGCCCCATTTGAGGAAGACACATTTCAGGGTAACTATCTGAATATAACAACAGTAATGCTAAGTTTATTAGTCTCAGTGTAAAGCTTCTCTCTCTCTCTCTCTTTCTCTCTTTCTCTCTCTCTCTCTTTCTCTCTCTCTGTCTCTCCAGTGTATTGTGTGGTTTTGTTTTTATTGTTATTTTTTCTTATTTTTTGTTTTTTTTCAAGATGTGATTTCTCTGTTTAACCCTGGATGTTCTGGAATTCACTCTGTAGATCAGGCTGGTCATGAACTCAGAGATCTGCCTGCCTTTTGTTTTTGTTTTAAAGTCCCCAAACGAGAGTCCTTTCTTTTTAATCTTGTCACAGTATAATTTGTGTCTTTTCTTTGGTTGCCCAACCCAAGGATGCAAAGGACTCTTTCTATGTTTTGTTTCTTCCTATGTTTTTAATATAAGTTTTATAATCATAGCCTTTAACTTAACCCTTTTGTTCGTTTTGAGCTAAACTTTGAGTGTGGTGTAAGGTAAGGAGCCCACTGTGTTCTTTTGCATGTGGACACCCTGCCATTTCTGCATTCTTGAGAAGATGGTACATGACTCTATTTTTCTTTTATTTTCTTTGAGACAAGGTTTTGTTATGTTGTGCAGACTGGACTTAAGCTATCCTCCTGCCTTCCTCATCTTGCCAAGTAACTGGGACTATAGGTGAGTATCACCATGCTTGGCTCCCAAGGTAATTCCAGGAATCACTGCACAAATCCGATCTTCTTAAACTCAGTTGTGTAACAGGCTTTCTCAGGCTGCCAGCCCCCAAATCATGATACAGAAACTTATTATTAATTATAAATAATTAATGGGAGAGACGGAGCCCCAGGACTGTTGAAGCCTGGAAGCCCCTCCCCTTCCCCTCTCCTCTTTGCCGCTCTGTGTCATCCCCCTCCCTCTACCCTTTCCTACTTTGATAACCTGGCTATGACTAGCAGAAGTCAGCCAGGCCCAATGGGCAGCCCCAGGCCAGCAAAATATGCCAGTTCAAATTGGTCCTGCTAGGAGAATCTGCAGTGGGGAAATCTAGCCTGGTGCTTGGTTTTTGTCAAAGGGCAGTTCCATGAGTACCAGGAAAGCACCATTGGAGCGGCCTTCCTCACCCAATCTGTGTGTCTAGATGACACAACAGTCAAGTTTGAAATCTGGGACATAGCTGGGCAGGAGTGATACCACAGCCTAGCCCCCATGTACTACAGGGGTGCCCAGGCTGCAATTGTGGTCTATGATATTACTAATCAGAAAACTTTTGTCCGGGCAAATACATGGGTAAAGGAACTCCAGCAGCAAGCCAGCCCTAGCATTGTTATTGCCTTTGCAGGGAACAAAGCTGACCTTGCCAACAAGAGCATGGTGGAGTATGAAGAGGCACAGGCATATGCAGATGACAACAGCTTGTTATTGATGGAGACTTCAGCCAAGACTGCTATGACCGTGAATGACCTCTTCCTGGCAATAGCAAAGAAGTTGCCAAAGAGCGAACCCCAGAATCTGGGGGGTACAGCCGGCCGGAATCGAGGTGTGGATCTCCATGAACAGTCTTAGCAGAACAAGAGCCAGCGTTGTGCCGGGCATTGGTGGCGCACACCTTTAATCCCAGCACTCGGGAGGCAGAGGCAGGTGGATCTCTGTGAGTTCGAGGCCAGCCTGGTCTCCAGAGCAAGTACCAGGAGAGGCTCCCAAACTACACAGAGAAACCCTGTCTCGAAAAAACAAACAAACAAAAAAGCCAGTGTTGGAGACTCTGAGGGTGGCTAGCAGCAAACACATGTGGAGTTAGCATGAGAGCTAAGACATAACCTCCATCCCCACCCCTCAGCACACAGCCCCTACGGTAACAGCACACTGAGCCCTGGATCCCAAGGGCTGTCTCCTGACAGCTCCATCATGGCACTTTTTATCAGCTTCAGCAACCAACACCAGGCAGCTGTTGCCATCCCTTCTTATGCCCTACTCTGAGGTTTGGGGTCAAATCTCCCCAGGACCTTCGTTCCAAAACAAACTTTCTTCACTTCATATTCTAGGTGCAAGACAGTGACCTCCTCATTGTTATCCCCCACTGTGTCCCTTCCCACACACACACACACACACACACACACACACACACACACACACACACACACACACACACTGTGTCCCTTCCCAGGGTTTCAGGGAAGACTTTTATCTCCTGCCTGTTCCCTCTGCCACCTCTCATCACTCCCTGTTCTTGTTCCTGTTCCCTCCTCTTCCCAAGATAATGAAAGGTACACCCCGGAACCCAAAAGGGAGACAATGTAATTTTAGTTACATTAAGGGCCCTGCAGGGATAGAGCAGGAGGCTCAGAGCAGGAGGGTGTAAGGAAACATTTCTTTTTTGTTTTGTTTATCTGGTAGGAGTTTCTTGACTATGAAACACTGCAGCACCCATGACTTGGACTTGTGGAGGGCGTTCCTAGGTAGGAGTGAGAATAGGGAGGCAAGCTCACAGGCACCCTATGGGAGTTGTATTAGCTGACTAGATAAAGGTTGAGGGGCAGTGTCATCTGTGGCTCTGGAACTTGTCCCAAGGCTTTTTCCCCTCACCCAGCCTCTTAGGTAGTTTCCCCACTCACTCATCCCAACTCCAGTGTGGGGATTGGACCTCAGAGTGCTCCAAAGAATCTTCACTGGTTGCCTGCACCTTTAGCTCTGCTGTTATCTAACTGGAGGAGGTACCAGTTTCTGACACCCATCCTCTCTTTTATACATAGGCATTTCCCCTCTCCTGGCCTTGAGATGGCCTTAGACCCAGACGCCATGACCCTGCAGTTTGCACTTTAATTGATGATAGTTCGGTCATGTTTATTGGTGTTTTGATTGATTTAGCTGTCCTTCAACCTTTTTAATTAAATGGAATCTACAATGTATGAGGTTTGGGAGGCACTATAGAAAACAGTAACAGTAGCAGCTACTCAAGCCCAGTCTCCCCTGCTAGCCTCTTCTGACTGATTCATGCCTCAATTCTTGGGTATACATTTGTCTGAGCAACTGAGGAGTTGCCTCAGAATAGCGTGGGCCATGGTAGTGGAGTGAAGAAGGGTAAGGCGAAGGGAGTGTTCTGTCTTCCTAGGGCTCACATTCAGCTTGCTATATCTTACCATGTCTTTTCTACTTCCCTGTAAATACTTAGTCTTTATTCTCACTGTATAGTCTGTTCTGTCTCCTGTTGCCCCTTTTCTTTTCTCTTTTGTTGGTATCTTGAGTTTAGTTCCTCCCTCACCCCGCCCCCCCTTACTCTTTCTTAATCCATGTACCACTAGGGGCTCCTGCCACATAGGCCACTCATCCTATGACAGGCGCAGCTAGAACTGAAGGTGCCTCACAGCTGCCGTATGTCTTCAGAGCGCTTTGGTCCTTCCTAAGTCTCTGGCCTCTACATCTTTCATTAGGTGTTTTGGGTTATCTGTGGGAAGCCATCAAAGCAAGAGGGAACTCAGTTCTTTTGAGTGTTGGCCAGAATTTTGGGGAAACCTGAAGAAGAAAGGAAAGCCCACAGTAACCCAGAGTTAGAACCTTTCTGTTTCTTTGGCTTACAGGCTGCCTTTTGTTTCAGAGCATGAAATCCATGGAACTCCATGGAATCCATGACACCAAGACTCTCAAGGATCCAGCTAAGGTTCTTCCACTTAGTCCTCAATTCTCTTCCTTTTCTAGGGGCAGCCTTAGTTCTCATGGCCCTGAAACACACATACGTTTCCAACTTTGTTTTCCTAGAACTTGTTAGCCCTCCAAAGCATCCAGGTGCATCTATTTTACAAGTTAAAAACCTAGGGAGGCTAAGTCTTGTAGAGACTTAATTCCTTTGCTGCAGTTTCCATGAGACAAAAGTGAAAATGTTTTATTACCTAGGGGCTGGGAAACCATTTCCCTGGGCTTTTCTCCTCCCTCCCTTCTTCCCTGTCTCCCTCCCTTAGGAACACTATTGGCCTTAGCTCCTGGGCCCGGCTGCTGCCTCCCCTCTACTCCCACCAGCTCTTCTGCCTTCATTTGAGCTCTGTTGGGCTTCAGGGTTCTTGTTCTCTCCCACCCTCCCATTATCTTTTTGATTTTGATCACATTTTAGGGGGGGGGTCATCCTTTTTTGTTTGTTTGCTTTTATTTTTTTCCTAAGAAAGCATTTGCCTTTCTTTCCCTCTCCTTCCAACATAGCAATCGTGGTAACAGAATGCAACTGCTGATTTATTGATGTATTTAATGTAAGTAAACAAGGAGAAAAAAGAATGCACTTGCTGGGTGTTGGTGGCACACACCTTTAATCCCAGCACTCAGGAGGCAGAGGCAGGTGGATCTCTGTGAGTTCGAGACCAGCCTGATCTCCAGAACAAGTGCCAGGATAGGCTCCAAAGCTACACAGAGAAACCCTGTCTCAAAAACCAAAAAAGAAAAAAAAAAGAATGCACTGGACTGTTCTTCTTTTTTACCATTTTTCTACCTGAAGCTAAAAATCGGGAAGGAAGGTGGATGGTAGTGGTGGCATATCCCTTTAATCCCAGCCCTCGGGAGGCAGAGGCACAAGCAGGAGGATCTCTGAGTTAGAGGCAGCCTGGTCTACAGAGGAAGTTCCAGGACAGCCAGGGCTACACAGAGAAACCCTGTCTCAAAAACAAACAAACAAAAGATTGGGAAGAAAGGGCCCAGTGAAATCTTACGGAACCTCTAACATACCACCTCCCAACCTTGGTGCCTCGTTACTTTCTCAACCTGTTCTTGGGCCCTTGAAGAGCCAATCTGGAAAATAACCTTGTTTTGTGAACTGTTCCTGCTCAAAGATATAGATAACTTATCAAGTGTGACTTTTATCTTTTTGTGTGCAGTGGTGAGGTCATGGATCTCCTGGGATTTCTTGAGACTGGAAAGAGGAATGGCAAATCTGAACTGTTGGAAGCACTATGCAATATTTTGTGCATTTTCCTGAGACTCATTTGTATATTAGTTTCTGAATTGGACCCATAACCTAAAGATTACAAAGAGGGCTGGAGACTGAGCTGTGGTGGCGCATGCCTTTAATCCCAGCACTTGGGAGACTGAGGCAGGCGGATCTCTATGAGTTCAAGGCCAGTCTGGTCTATAAAGCTACTTCCAGGACAAACTCAAAAAAAAACACCAAACCAAAAAAGAAAAAGAAAAAAAGAGGTCTGGAAAGATAATGGCTCAGCGGTTAAGAGTACTGGGTGCTCTTTCAGAGGACCCGGGTTCAAGCCCCAGCACCCACATGGCAGCTCATAACTGCCTGTAACTCCAGTTCCCGGGGATCTGACATCCTCACATATATACATGCATGCAAAACACAAATGTAGAGGACATAAAATTTAAAAAATATATATTCAAAATAAATAAATAAACAAATGACAGCCTTTGCTTATGCTTGTCCCGCTAGCTCTCACAACTTAAATTAACCTGTTTCTCTTCATCTACATTTTGCTTTGGGGCTTTTTACCTTTCTTTCATTCTGTATGTCCTACGCCTTGTCTTTCTGTCTGGTGACTGCCTGGCTGCCTGGCCCCAGCTATCTCCCTTTCTTTCTTGCTCCTTCTCTCTTCTCTTCTCTCTTGAGCCTAGATTCTTCCTCCTATTATTCTCTCTGCTGCCCAACTATTGGCCATCTAACTTTTTATTAGGTAGCCTTAGGCAGGCTGGGTGAAACAGCAACACATCTTTACATAATTAAACAAATGCAGCATAAACAGATGTATACACCTTTACACAGTTAAAGTAATATTCCACAACACAGTTGCATACCCACTCCTTCCCAAGCAGCTTTAAAATTTCAGTGCACATGTATGTGTGCCCTCAGACATCGGTGTTTTTTATGGAAGCATTCAGGTGATTCTAAAACACACAGCCAAGACCAAAACTAAAATAGAGATTGCTTACCTGACAAGGTAAATAAAAATAAACAAATCCTTTATTTTATACACTTGATTAGGACAAAGATTTGTGTCCATAGTATATGTACTCGTATCTTTGGCATCTAAAACAGTACAAATGGTTTCTTGGCCTTCTCACTTGCCACCATGAGCACGCCAGTTGCAATATCTCTGAATTTATTTTTCTATTTCTCACAGGAGGACTATATTAGAAAATGTATGTTGTGGTTGTTTGAGTGAAAATGGTCCCCATAGACTCATAAGAAGTGGCATTATTGGTGGTGGGGCCTTGTTGGAGGAAATGTGTCACTAGGGGTGGGCCTTGAGGTTTCAGATGATCAAGCCAGGCCCAGTGTCACTCTCTCTCTCTCTCTCTGTCTCTGTCTGTCACACTCTCTCTCTCTCTCTCTCTCTCTCTCTCTCTCTCTCTCTCTCTCTCTCTCTCTCTCTCTCTCTCTCTCTCTCTCTCTCTCTCTCTCTCTTCCTGTTGCCTGCAGATCCAGATGTAGAAACCCTCAGCTCCTTCCCCATCACCATGTCTGCCTGTGTGTTGTCATGCTTCCTACCATGATGATAACTAACCTTCTGAAACTGTAAGGCAACCCCAATGAAATGTTTTCCTTTATAAGATTTGCCATGGTCTCTTCATAGTGATATGATTG